ATTTATTAAGCACCCTTTCTTTGTCGTGCCCCCACCCCAACTCCTGCCCAGGCAGCCCTGGGCTGGGGAAGCCTGAGCCTCTAGCTCTGGGCCTGTTAACATTTAACCAGCTGGAAAAGCCCTTCCTACGGTGACCTTTCACCTTGGAGTCCCGCAGGTCCAGTTGTAGGCCTTATCTTCTGCCCTGTCCTGGGCCCTGGGCCCTGGGCCCAGAGCTGGACACCAGGGCACGTGGCTGGGCCTCTGAAGGCTGCGGGGCAGGAGAACTGCCCTCTGCCCTCTCCCCTCCCCTCGCTGGAAAGGGCCATGGGAAAGGGTATCCCCTCCTCCAGATTACATCTGAGGGGACACCTTGGGTGGGGGGTTGGGGAGAGCTTGGAGATCATGCAACATTTAAGAGGATACCAAGGTTCTGTAAAAGCCAGGCACCACACACCCAGCCCCGGGCCTCTGGACCTCCCAGGGAGGATCTGGCTGGGTGCGAGCTAGAGGAGGTTTTAGCAAGTACAGGAAGCAAGAAGGACTGGAGTTAGACGTGAGCAAGGACTTTCCGTGGGACCGACTAGCGTGGAATTCTCTGCCCTTGTAAGCCCTGCTGGAGGAGAGGGTCTGGATGGTTGGAGAGGACCATCTGTTTCTGGGCTGCCTGGGAATGTGGAGGTGCTGGCTGGTTTTTTGGGGTGAGGGCAGGGGTCCTAGGTCCCTGTTCTGGGCTTTCCAGGATTCTTGGTTGGAGGGGTTAGGTCTCGGAAGGGAGAGAAGGTCCCGGGAAGCGACTCAGAAGAGGGGCTGGAGAGGGCAGGGGGCAGGGACCTGGGGTTTGAGGGACAAGAGTCCAGGGGAGGTGAGGCTCAGAAGTGGCCGTCTGGGGCCGTTTTGGAGACTAGGGAAATATCCGCTGCAGATCCTAGAACCTCCCGTTGGTCCAACCCCTTGGCGGCCGCCTGGGCCCTCCCTAGTAGCGCCAGGGCCCCTGAACCCCTGGGGCCCTCCTGGGGGTGGGTCGAAGTCCGGCCCCGCCCCCTTGACCCCTGCCCGCGGCCCCGCGGTGACATTTGACCTTGCGGCGGCTGCGGACCGCGGACAAAGAGGCCAGGGCCCATCTGCCGAGGGGGCACCCGTGGGAACGGCCAGACCCGGCTCCCGGCGGCCTGAGAACCAGCCCCAGACCCCTCCAACAGCGCGAACTCATTCCCCACCCTTCAACAGGTGACCTTGCCTCCCTTTGCGCCCTCCCCCTACCGCGGGCAAACTGGTGGGACTGGGGGGCTTGAAGTCACTCTTGCACTCTTGGCCACAGACAAAAGGGGATAAGGTCGGCTCCTCTGACCCTCCTCAGGACCTTGCCCTCCTCAGTTTCCCTGCTTTCTTCAAAGCTGGGTGTCGTCCAGAGAGACTGCACGGTCCGAAGGTCACCAGCCCCAGTGATCCCTGAGGAGTTGTGTGTCAGGAAGACCGGGTTGAGTCAAGGCCCCTGACGGGCCTGAAGTCGGTCCCGGGCCCACCTTGCCCTCCCTTGGGAAAGGCGGTCACCGTACACGCCTGCACAGGTGTGGGCTGGGAATCACCACCACCAGGCTGGGGATGAAAACCTTCCCAATCCGCGGCTTGGGTTTCAGCCTTTACCCAGGAGGGGAATAGCTGGCCAGTAATCTGGCTGGCCGGTCTCACCTAAGCCCCCTCTCCAGGAGGTGTGGCCTATGCAAACGACATGCTAATTAGCTGCCTGCAATTAACCTGACACTAACAGCTCCCAACGCCGCCGGCAGGTGAAAGCTGGCATTTAGCCAGGCCAGGGGCCTTCCAGTCCCTGAAGGGCGAGATGTGCCTCCCTGCCCACCCTTGTGTGCCCTCTCTTAGTTAGTCCTTGTCCCTGAGTAACCACTTACAGGTTTTTGCTTTTGCTGTGCCCCCAACCCCAAAGCCCTTTATCTTACTTAGCTCTGTATTCTTTGAATTCAAGTTCCAAAGCCCTCTGATTCCTCCTCCACCTTTGGGAGCTATTACTCTTCCAGCAAATTTTCTACACCCTGAACCCATAGGCCCTCGGTCTTCCTTCTGAGATGTGGGCCTTTTCCTCTTGGGAGCATCTGCCAGGCCAAACCCAGCATCTCCCCGTGAACCCCTCCCAGGGCTTCTGGAGGCAGCTGAGTGTTGGCATTTCAGTTCTGGCAATGTAGCCTCACTGACCCCTGAATCCTTGAGCCAGCCCTAGGTCTGTCATGACCTCTGGCATGATCCCGCTGACATATCACATTCACATGCCACGTGGTGCCAGGCCAAAGACCTGGAGCCCTTCCCAAATGCCCAGCCACCCCTCCATCAGGTTCCAGACGCCCAAGTGTCCCATCCCACCCAACAGGTCCCGACATTCAAGGTCACACATGATATAGTATCACTCCAGGACAGTTTATGATGTGGCCTGCCCTAATTATCTGGTACACCCAGACACAGCCAGAATGGGGCCTACAGAAAGGTCTCTCCCAGCCGGGGAGGTGGACAAGACGGTCTGGGCCTCCCCAGCGCCCTTACGGTGGCTTCTAGCACTTCCAATTCCTCTGCCTGTCGAACCTCCATTAGTGCCACCTGCTGTTCCAGCTTCCTCCGTTGCTCTTCCTGCTTCCGGTGGGCACCTCGGAAGGCCAGGACCAGGGCACTGGAGGGGATGAGTAGGCTGAGCCAGGAAACAGCCCCCCCTCCCACCAAATCAGGAGCTATGTGTTCCCAGCACCAGACGGGAGCTCTCTGAGCCTGAGTTTTCCTGGGGTCCCGTTCAGAAAGGGGCTGGCAAACACTGGGTATCGGGGGAGGCACGGGATGGATTGGACCTGCCACCTACCTTACAGGGGAAGGCTGCAGGCCAGAGAGAGCCAGGGACACTTCTGAGGTCACGGGGCGGGGAGTGGGGGGGAGAGTACAGGGAAGGGAGACCCACCTGTGAGCCTTGCATAAATCGTTGTTCAGCTCGGCACTCTGAGCACGTCTGGCTCGCCCCTTCTGAGCCACCTGTTCCAGTTCCTCCCGCAGAGACTGCAGCTGCTCCCGCAGGCTCAGGGCCCTGGTGCAGGGGTGAGGAGAGAGGAGCTCATGGCCAGAGCCAATCCAGTCTTCTTTCCCTCCACCTACCCACCTATATTCCCAGGTGAACACACCTGTACGCAGATGGATGCCCCGCCCTCTGCGGCACACAGTGCCCCCGGGGATTCTCACATAGACCCGCCCAGCCCGGGACCGAGACACACACCGGTGAAGTGACGCTGCTAGTTCCTGGGCTAGAATCTCCGGGCCCTGGGCTTTGCCCGCCTGGCCTCCATCAATGCCCCTGCTGCCACCAAGAATGGCTGGAGGGCCCTGTGGGAGGCAGAAGGGAGGAAAGTGACATTGGCTCAGGTGGAGCGCGTGTTCAGCCCAGGCCGGACGTTGAAGTCACCCAGGCTGTGGCAGCCACAGCCCCTGCCCTCACGAAGCCCCCAGTCTGATGAGAAACCCTAATTAGGACAAAATGACTCCCTAACGGGGAATCTCATCTGGAGGCAGGTGATATCTGAGCACAGACCTGCAAGAGATCATGGGCTTAATTAGACAAAGAGGGAGATGCCCAGTGTTCCTGGCGGGGGCACAGCACCTACAAAGGCTTGGAGGTAGCAGAGATGATCCAAAGGAAGGTTCTATAAGCTGCTGAAGGCTTTAAGCAGAGGACAGACATGATTAGATAGGAAGGGGCAAAAGGGAAGTCCTCAGGGTGGAAGCTAGAGCCAAAAATTTAAGAAGACACGAAGCATGGGCTGGGGCTGTTGGAGTGGCGATGCCGCCAGAGTATGAACAACCCTGGGGGTGGGAAGCAGGAGGTACAGGTTTGAGTGGAAGACGCTAAACGCCTTGGGGCTTATTGGGCTCCAGACCTTCAGAGAAAACAAAACAAAACAAAAACCCAAAGTACAGGTATGAACTTTGACATGCATTTTGTTTAATGTTTATTTATTTTTAAGAGAGAGACGGAGCGTGAGCAGAGAGGGAAGCAGCAGAGACAGGGGGAGACACAGAATCGGAAGCAGGCTCCGGGTCCTGAGCTGTCAGCACAGAGCCCGATGTGGGGCTTGAACCCATGCACTGTGAGATCATGACCTGAGCTGAAGTTGGACGCTTAACCGACTGAGCCAGCCAGGCTCCCCTAAACTTTGACATGCGCTCTAACCGTTCAACATATTTCTTTGTGCAGAAATGCAAGCCGAGGCTCAGAGGAGTCTGGGATTGACCAGGGCCACATAGCCAGCAGTATATGGCTGTCCCCACCAGGTCCAGGAAGGGCCACTCACCTGAGACGACTCCTCTTCGTCTCCACTGCTCCCGCCTCCACTGCTGTCCCCACCACTACTGTTGGCCCCACCGGTCCGGAGCTGTGCCTGTTCCCACCGCAGCTGCTCTAGCAGGAGCACATGGGCTGGGCCCTGGGCCCGGAGGGCAGCCTCCTTCAGCTCCAGACCCCGCTTCTCCCGCCTCATCAACTGTAGCCGCAGCATCAGTTCTGCCAGAGTCTCCTAAGAGAACAAGAAGTGGGCAGGGAATTTGGGCCTCTGGGATCTGGGGAAACAGGGCCCAGGAGGCACCCAGTGAGGACTGGTCAGGCAAGAACTCAAACCCTCACCATGATCTTGTATGGTGGGAACTATCATCTCCTAAAAACGACAGCTATAGAAATCGTCGTTCAGAGAGCACAAATATCTTAGACGAGGTCAAGTGGCATCTCAGGAAGGGTCTGGAGTTTCTCCAACTCTAGAACCTCAGATCTTTCATGCCAGGGTATAAACCTCAGACTATGTCCCCCTGCCACCATCTCCTTTCCATAGGAAGGAAATTTGGGAAAGCTACATTCAGAATCTTCTGAGACACTGAATTCCAGAAGACAAAGTCCTATGTCCTATTCATCCCTCAAAATCCCAGGCTCCAATTCCCTTCCCTCCAGGAAGTCTGCCCCCAGCCAGGTAGAACTCTCCTTTGCTACTTGGTCCCCCAATCCTCCCTCTAAGCCTCAGCAAAGGGCTTTGTCCCACCAGAAAAGACCAACACGGTGCCCGCTGCCCATGTGTACCCGTGTGGCCGCCAGGTCCCGCTGGATCTGCATCTTCTCCAACCGGGGTAGGACTGGGCCAGGCTGGGTCCCCAGAATGGCCTGCACCATGGCCTCCGCATGGGGCACAGTGGGCATGGGTGCCAAGGTTGGGCCAGGCTCTGGGGGAATCTTCACCAGAGCACGGCGCTCCTGGAGACGCTGGACATAGCCCCAGAGCTGGGTAGCCAGCTCCTGTGGTGTGGGCCGATCCACACTGCTGCCCTCGGGGCTACAGGAAACCGAAGAGGGGTCTAATGTCAACACTTGTGGCCATGGTTGTGCTAACTTCATGCCAACCCTAGTGGGCTTTGCCTTCTTCCATCTTACGGACTGTGATGGATTCTATGCCGTCTGTGGTGAGTGCTGTTATACCAACATGGCGGACACATAATATAAACCCCAATGGGCACCATTATTCATCAAGACAATGTAGTGAACACCATCGTGTCAATGATTACTGTTGCTCATGCCATCGTAGTGGAAGCCACCACACCAACTCAATAGGCCCTATCACTTATGCCAACGTGATGGATGCCATCACGCCAACACAATGGGTACCATTGCTCAGCTGGCCGACTCTATTTGGCAACATCATGCTAACCCCCACGTGTACCAGCATCAAGCCAACCCCATTAAACACCATCGTGCCAGTTCTAATCAGTAGGCACCGTCATCCATCAACAAGCCATCCTGGTGGGTCCTATACCAATCCCAGTGGCTGTCAATCACCCATGCCAACTTTCTTGAGTAGCAACCAGCCAGCTCTACTCGGGCCTCATGCCAACCAACCACAGAGAGCCCCTACACCAACTTTGCTGGGCACGGCCAGGCCAAACCCCAACACGAAGCCAGCTGTGGGAGGCCCATTCTCTAATAAGAACCCCACTCACTGGCCCTCCCAGTTCTCAAGGTTCCCAGGGGTACCTTGGCTGTGGATTCCGTGGTGTCCCTCCATCCATGGCAGCCTCCTCGTGTGCCAGCAGCCTCTGAGCCTCCTTCTCAGCCACCTCCAGGTCCCTCATAGGGGCTTCCTCTCTTGCTCCCGAATCTGCCTCCCGGAGAGTGAGCAGGACTCCATACGCCTCCTCACAGTGCTCACTGTGAGACACTGATTCTGAGTGCTCTGGGACACCTGGCTCCATCTTGCGTGGGTGACGTCCCCACTTGCTCCTGGATCCTTCACTTCGTCCCCCAGCCCCCACCCCTGGGAGCATGTAAACTCCTTCAGCACCCTGGGACTAAGGGGGAAAGTGCTTTCCTGCAAGGGCCCTGACTCTCTCTGGGATGGGGGTTCCTCCTGAGCGTGCCCATTCCCTTCCCCACCAGTGATACCATGGGTGGGGTGCACTGACCTGTACTGCAAGGCCAGACGCAGGGCTGTGGCTTCAGCCTCCCGCTGGCCCAGCTGCATGCTGAGGGCTTCACACCGGCCCTTGTACCCCTGCAGCACAGCTGACAGCAGATGGTTGAAACACTTGAGCTTCTCGATGCTCCTGCCTCCGAAGTTAGGGAAGGGGGGACGTGAGAGGCCCCACAGGGCAGCCAGGACCCAACTGACTGCCATCCTCCTCCCCACTCCATTCCAGCTCCAGACTGGGGCTTATAGGCCAGCTGGGAAGGAAGCGGTGCCCTTACGAGCTCAGCACGGGTGGCCCTTACCCCTGGAGCTGTTCCGTCTGGCTTTCCATGATGCGCACCTCGGGGGCGAGGGGTTGAGTGCGGAGAGGCCCAAACATCTGAGTGCTGGAATCACTCCGGAGGCGCCGGAGCAGGGGGTGAGCCAGGGAGAAGGGGTCCTGCCAGAAAGAGGTTACTTGATTCACCCGGATTGTCATTGAGAGCCCAGAATCACGGATTTAGACCTTTTGCAAGCCCAGAAGCTACTGGATTGCATGACCAGGATTTCAGTCTCACTGCTCCAAATCCCAGGATTTCAGTCTCACTGCTCCAAATCCCACAGATCTCAAGATTGTGATTTTGAGCTTCCCACACTCACCTGAGTCCCCCAGGGCTCTTCATCTACCCCAGAACTGCTGGAGCCACTGCCCGAGCCACCTGCTTGGCCACGGGAGGGAAGTGGAAAGGGCTCCAGCCTCATCAGGGAATCCTGGAGCTCCTGGACCTGGGGGTGGGTGGGAAAGGAGGATGGGGTAGGTTAGGCCTGGAGACTCTAACCACCCAGCAGCCCCCCACCCCCTTTTTTTTTAAGTTTATTTATTTTGAGAGAGAGAGAGAGCAAGCACATTCGTGCATGGGAGAGTCAGAAAGAGAGGAAGAGAGACAGAGAATTCCAAGCAGGCACTGCACTGCCAACACAGAGCCCAACGTGGGG